TGGTGCCTCTTGGCAACTTGGGCTAGAGTGGGCCAGGTAGGATCAAGGCAAGTGTGGAGAGAGATGCCATCTCCTAATGCAAGTTTCTGTAAAGCATCTGGGGCTTCATACTACAGATGAGAAGAATGAGACCCATAAAAAGGAAGTAACTTATTAAGGCCACACATCATGTAAGTGTCAAAATGGGTGACAGAGCTTAGTATCTCCCCCTTCAGTCCCGGGTGGTTCCTTCCACACCTGAGCAGCCTCTTTTGGAAAGGAAGACACAGAACTGTGTGCCCAGGGAAAAGTGAAGGCTTTACCCAAAGCCACAGATAAAATGAACTCGGTCACAGTGTCGTCATCTCAAACCCCACCTAGGTGGCATTCAGGGATATTTCTCAAGGGACATGGACCACATCATTTACAGTCTGCAGAGAAACAACCGACTGGACAGAACTTCTGATCTCTCCTTTGAGGCCAAAGTGAGAAAGGCCTTGCCTTTATTTCAAAGGGTCCTGAGCAGGATTTCTGGACTCCTGCAGTCCAGCTTCCTCGACAGCACTCCTCCTGCAGATCAGGCCAAGCTGACCTGGGTCTCACGTTTGTCTTCACCATCTTGTCAATCCTAGCATCCTTAGGTGGTGGCAGAGAGTCCAGGCCACATCAATATTTGAGGAGAGAGGGAAGAATAGTATCTCTGGACCCTTGTTAATGCTGGATAAGGAATCGTGGAGTTGCTGCATTGCTGGGAGATGCCTCACAGAAGCAGAGAAGTTGCCAGACTGAAATTACAGCGCTTACAAGCTCACATGCCTGGTGTGTACGTATTCCCATGCTCAGTGAATATTTAATGAATGAATGGATGGGTGGATGAGTGGTTGAGTGAAACTCTCAATCCCTCACAGGAAAGATTCATGTTCTTCATTTGAAACATGGAAACACACACATACACACACATTCATATTTCTCTCTCTCTCTCTCTCTCTCTCTCTCTCAGATCGGAAGAGCGGTTCACCTAGTGGACACTCCAAGACTATGCCTGGATCTCTACCGGGTTTCTGGCTCCTTTTGTTCTGTGGCTTCTGCCCTTGCTCCTTCCTGCTTTACTCATTTTGGCACATGACCACTGAGGGTGGCGGCATGGCCCTGCAAGTCAGCAGAAGCCTATCTGGAGTCCTGGAAGGAGCAACTTGAGAAAGATGTTGTTAGGGGACAGCGTGAACGAGATTGGATCAATTGCTTTAGAGCTGCTGGTGATGTGCAAAGGACCTTATGTCCTGAGGCCCATAACTGGTTTGCTGTGTGGCCCTGACCAACCCACCTGCTGTCTCCTACCCTTGTTTTTGTTTTTATTTTAAATTAATCTGGGGATGCAGGAGCTGAGCTCAGCACAGCTGTGATGACTGAATCCTTGCTGTGTAACCCAGGGCTTGTTCTCAGATCCCAATGCCCTCGCTTGCCATAGGGGGACCACTGTGCTCATATTGCAGTAGAGCACCCTGGCTTTAGATAAAGTAAGGAACTCAAGGGCTCCGGATGGCACATGCCTGTAATCACAGCAACCTGGGAGGCCGAGACAGGAGGATCGCAAATTCAGGGCCAGTCTCAGCAACTTAGTGAGGCCCTAAGCAACTTAACAAGACCCTGTCTCAAAATAAAATAAAAAAAAATTAAAAGGGCTTGGGATGTGGATTAGTGGTAAACTGCCCCTGGGTTCAATTCCCAGTATCAAAACCAAAACAACAACAACAAAATAAAACCATGAACTGTCTGTCTGACTCTAGCACCTATACCCTCAGCACTACACCGTACTGCTCTTTAGAGGCTCTGTATCAAATGGTTAAGGTTGTAACCTCTGGAGCCTTGCTCCTTTAGTGTGAATTTCTGATTCTATGTGTGACCTTGGGTGAGTCACTTAATCTCTCTGCATTTTTTTCTCCATCTGTGCAATGGGATAACAACACCAAAATTTTGCTGTAAAATTTCATACAGCCACCCACATACCACTTAGAATACTCCCCAGCATTTCCAGTCTTTGTTTTAACTATAAATTCAAAATTACTCAAATATGTAAGTATTTCATGCCTGCACAGTTATTTTCTGCCCCTGAACTTTTGCAGTTTGTTTTTGACATTGCCTGAAGGAGCTATAAATTTAGATCTTTAATATTATTTTCAAGAAAGGTTATATTTGCAGTTACACTGACGGTCTGAAGAAAAGAAAACTTCCTCCGTGCATCTTAGAGGTTGTGTCCCATTATTGCCCTCCCCCCAGGCACTATGAATTAAATTATATCAATTTTATGAATTCCAAAATTGTATCGTGAATGGTACAAGCATATTCTATTCCATTATTTGGGAGGTAGAAGTATTGATTGCTTATATGCAAATATCTCAAGTGAACAGGAATTTTTATAACCTTGCTTTGCCTTTCTTCATTTTTATGCCTGGAGCCTGGGAAATGGATGGGACCTGGGTTTCTCCTGATCTCCCAGAACCCTGATCTATTCCAAGATACCAGGATTGGAAGAAGCTAAGTCCCAGAAGTCCCTCTGGGGGACTGAAGTGTGGATAAGAGGTCTGCCATTGTGGGATGGCCCACAGGGGCAGCAGAGCATGACTGGACACAAGTCTTGAAGGTGGTGTGACCTGGTTCGTCGCTGGAGACTTCACATTGACTCTCCTGGGTTCCAGTAAATGACAGGGAAGCAGCACTGCGTCTGTCCTTCAGTACTACTGTCATCCGCAGTGAGTGGAGACTCCAACCGTGTCCTAGACCAAGCTTTGTGACCTTGGCACCATGATGCTCAGGGCCACATAATTCTCCATCGTGTCAGGATGTGGGGGGTAGGGAGAAGAGACCATAGAGAAGACCCCCTTCCAGGACAGGTCCCAGGGATTCACCTCTTCCAGCTATGCCTCCACTGAGTCCAGTTACCACCCAGTCAGACCACTCAGAGTAGGATGGACTGATTAGGTCACAGCTCTCTTCAGTTGTTGGACTCACAACGTGAAGAAAAGACCATCAACTCCAATTTTCAACCAAACTGAAGCAAGTTTGTATTGTGAACCCAAGAGAGCTGGCCAGCGGCTGTCTCACCCAAAGCCGGGCCAGAGAACAGCCCAGAAAGGTTTGGATAGCACAAAGAGTTACAAAGGGGGTGTCTCGGGAACTTACAGCTAACGGGGTTCTGGCAAAGGTAACACAAAGGCAGATAGCAGGTTAGTGATCTGCATGGCTTAACATTTCAAGGCAGAGAGTCAATCGAGATTCCAACATCAGAATTTATGAGGCGCCCCTGAGTTTTGGGGGAGGGTGGTTACCTGGTCAAGGAGAGCCAGGCATGATTGAGTTCAGAGCATGGGCAGGAATTCCAAGCAAGTTTAAACATCAGATGATCAGGCCCAGTAGAAATCTTAGTGTGTTATAGTAAAACAGAAATGAACTTCTCATAACCTTGTGACGAGATGACTCCCAATCTTAAGACGGAATTAGGCTGGGTTCATCAATAATCTAATCACTTCACCTCTGAATAGTCCCATTTTCCCAAGTATTTTATTTTTTTCTTTTGTATTATATATTTTTTAGGCAATTATGAATGGGATACTTCTTTTAATTTCTCTTTCAGCTGATTTGTCATTAGTGTATAGAAATGTTTGATTTATGGGTTTAATTTTATATCCTGCTATTTTGCTGAATTCATTTATGAGTTCGGGAAGTTTTCTGGGTCTTCTAAATATAGAATCACATCATTGGCAAATGTTTGAGTTCTTCTTTTTCTACTTGTATTCCTTTAATTTCTTTCTTTTGCCTAATTGTTCTGGCGAGAGTTTCAAGGATTATGTTGAATGGAAGTGGTGAAAGAAGGCATCCCTGCCTTGCTCTAGTTTTTAGAGGGAATGCTTTTGATTTTTCTCCATTTATGATGATAAATAAATAAATGATGTTGGCTTGTGTTTAGCATATATAGCTTTTACGATATTGAGGGATGTTCCTACTGTCCCTAGTTTTTCTAGTGTTGTGAACATGAATGGATACTGAATGTTGTCAAATGCTTTTTCTGCATCTATTGAGATGATCATAGGATTCTTGTCTTTATTGATGTGATGAATTAACTTTATTGATTTCCGAATGCTGAACCAACCTTGCATCCCTGGAATGAGCCCCATTTGATCATGGTGCACTACCATTTAAATATGTTTTTGT